TTCCAAACCCCGTGGGTCACATCCGGTACGAAACGCCAAATAGTTTACGGTTATCATGGAGATCGTTTCCAATTCGGTGATACGGGATCTTAAATTAACTTCCCCCTTCTAAGATCCCAAGCCCAGCTCCACCCTCGAGGTGTGCAGGATAACCTGGCATTCATCCTATTTGTCTTCGTCTTACCGGAAGGACAATGTGTTCCGCAAATTTGCGCCTTCAGCTAGTCGTGTTATATGCAGTCTGCTCCTCTGACAATTTCTCATTGGATCAAACTTACATCCGTCCCATTTAAGGTACCCAACCTAAGGATTGCGAAGGAGACCTGACATTAGGGACGCACGCTGTCGAAGTATCATACTGTACGGGATACGAAGCTCGGAGCCCTGAACTCCACCTAACTTTCCTGGTTGATAGCCTTGAGTTTGGAGCTCCAGTATCAGTGCATTCCTACACCTGAGCTCGCACCACTAGCCTATTTACTAATCGCGGGCGCGAACTGACAGATTCAAAGTCTCCGTAGCTTTACCCATCTCAATCTAGGCGCTACCTCGTATCTTCTCTATGGACATACTCAACTTGCTAGAAAAGGCGTTGCTGTTCTCTTTTCACTTGAAGGGGGTTGGGTTCTATAGAACGCCTTGAATAAACGCTACCCACCAATGGAGATGGTCTCAGATATTCTTGGGCCAAGGAAGATCCCCATAATATTTGTTGAGCATAGCAGTAATTAATAGCAGGGTCTGGTTCAGCAGACCAAATGATCCCGGCTTTGGATATAGTATGTGGGATAGTGGATTCGTTGATATCCATGTGGATAGATTTGACGGTTCTGTATGCATCATTATTATCATTTGATTGATATCTCGTCATCCCACTACTCGCTGCCGATAGAAGAGCCAGCATTCACAGTTAATGCATTCCAAGCGGACTCCTCCGTACATTCCATTGGATACAAGGCATGTGGGGAGATGTAGGATGACAGGGAACGTCACAACCTGAGGCATTCGATATCCTCCAAATGTTAAGCGCTTAATATCTTGGCAATAGTAGAGACCTCCTCAGTCTCGGTTTTTTATCTCTAGTGTTGCTCCTACTTCATAGTCTCTGACCTGTAGTCCGACTGTGTACAGTACACTGATTTTGGGACGGTGGTACAAACGTAGATATATATAATAGTGCCCCTTCATGTCCGTGTTCATTGACTGCGACTTGAAAAGTACTCACTATTGACTCAGAAAAGAGCTCGACAACTCATCTAGTCTATAGATGCCGCCGCTATTGCTAGGCATATGATGTATATACCAGCCAGTCTTGATCCGGAGCTGGACATACGTGATCTGGCTTCCAACATGTAGGTATCGTGATGGCGCCCTTCTATGAATTTATGGGCCTATTCGCCTACTAATATTGAACCATCTTGCCAAGTAGAGGGGTCACTGCTACTATCTTTGCATGATAGGGATTGGCATTAAGTACTCGAATAGCACCAAGCACCCATTACTGCACGGATAAAGAGCCCGGCGCTTACGCGGACATAAGGCTAGGACAGCGATCAATTCCATAAATCCCGGATGCGATACCGGTTGAATACCGGTGAATCACCCTGTCTACTATCTACTGGTTGTGCTCTGATGTCCCTCGCGGGAGGCTACAGTAGAGTTCAATTCCATTGTCATTAAATGTAAAATTTTCCACGTGGCTCAAGGAATATAGCATCACACATAATGATACTTTGATGATTTTTTCTGAATAATTTTAACGATATGTTTAGGTGCCATAGGAAATGGCTATCTACGTGATGGTTTTTTCCTTTCCATTTATTTCTCTGCTCTGTAACAAATGAACCCTAAACATCATTGTTTCTTTTTCTTCGGGGTTGAAATCTGGGGAAACACGCCCGCACGTGAGCCCTCCGCCACTCCGCAATTTCAACAATCGACCCGAGGTTTTCACATGCAACTGCGCGATGCCGTCAGCAGCACCCATAATGTGACTTGTTCGGCAGATCGCCAACTTATCCGTGAACGAATCCATTCTTTACTATACTCCTTCACGACCACCTTGACTGAACACTCACCATACAACTCTCAGACGCGTCCTACTCAGACGCTTTCCTCATGGCCTATGTCGCCTTGGCCTAAGGAAGGGCGCTGTGTGAGCTACCCGCTCGACTCCAAGTGGCCCAGTAATTAAGTCAAAATGGCCGCCCAATCAACACTACGCTCCCGGGAGGATCCCCTCGCCACGCTATACCATTACTACCTCAACTTGTTTCGTTCTCGGTTTAAGCGTTCATCGAAAACAACCAAGCTGATCGCTACCGCTGCGCTACTGCTCTCGATCATAGCAACTGGATATGGAGGCTACAAACGACTACGCCAGAGGGCGAAGGAACGCGCCCAGGGCAGACGATTGTTACGGCGAAACTCCGGAATTAGGGGAAAGGATGGTTCTCGCACCATATACGTGCCTTACAAAGATTCCCTGACATCTAAAGTTACTATCCACCCAACGAAACCTACGACATTTGATGCGCACCGGAGGCTATTCTTAAACCCCCCAGCTCCAGCTCGCGCTGGAGATGGCGAATCCAACCAGATCCCACCACCGACAACTAAGCCGGGCCTGAACCTCGCTTTCCTTCACCAGTTTCTTAGTCTTGGAAGTATCATGGTCCCTAGATGGGGTAGTAAGGAGACCGGCCTCCTCATGGGTCATGGCGTATTTTTACTGCTACGAACGTACTTATCGCTGTTAATTGCAAGGTTAGATGGCGAGATTGTGAGAGATCTCGTTGCAGGGAAGGGCCGAGCGTTTATGTGGGGTATTGTTAAATGGTGTGGCATTGGCACACTTGCTTCGTATACGAATGCCATGATCAAGTTCCTGCAGTCGAAGGTGTCTATCGCATTTCGAACGAGACTCACCCGGTACATTCACGATCTGTACCTCACTGGTGATGACAACTATTACAAGTTGATGAATCTGGACGGTGGCATCGGTCAGGGTGCGGACCAGTTCATCACGCAGGATCTCACACTCTTCTGCTCTGCAGCCGCAGCTCTGTATTCCTCCATGGGGAAACCACTGGTGGATTTATTTGTTTTTAATTATCAACTGTACCGCTCTCTGGGGCCTTTGGCCCTTAGCGGAATCCTCACGGGCTATTTCAGCACTGCAATTGTTCTGCGCAAACTGTCACCTCCGTTCGGCAAGCTCAAGGCTGTGGAGGGCAAAAAGGAAGGAGACTTCAGAGGGCTTCACTCTAGATTGCTTGCGAATGCTGAGGAGATATCGTTCTATGGGGGAGCTGACATCGAGCGAGTCTTTTTGACGAGAAGCTTCAAGGATCTTCAGCGCTGGCTGGAGGGTATTTACAGCCTGAAGATTCGCTATAATATGCTCGAGGATGTTATCTTGAAATATTCTTGGTCTGCCTTCGGCTATCTGATCACGTCTTTGCCTGTATTTCTCCCTGCCTGGGGTGGCCTAGGTGGCGCCCTGGAGTTAGCCGATACACCTGAAACGGTCGGACGAGAACGGGGCCGTATGAAGGAGTTCATCACGAACAAACGGCTGATGCTGTCTCTAGCAGATGCCGGCGGCCGAATGATGTACAGTATCAAGGACATTTCGGAACTGGCTGGTTACACCTCGCGTGTCTACACACTGATTTCGACCCTCCATAGGGTTCATGCAGACGCATATTACCCTCCACGTGGCTCCCATGCGGAGTTGTACTCTCTGGCAGATGCGCAGGGTACCATCCACAATGGCTTTGATGGAGTGCGTCTCGAACATGTTCCAATCGTGGCACCATCTCTCTATCCTCATGGTGGCGATGAGCTTCTTGAGTCACTGTCATTCGTTGTGCATTCTGGAGATCACCTTCTTATCTCTGGACCGAACGGCGTTGGCAAATCTGCCATTGCTCGTATAATAGCAGGTCTATGGCCGGTTTATCGTGGGTTAGTCAGTCGACCAAGGGGATTTGGGCTGGATGGAATCATGTTCCTCCCCCAACGACCCTACCTCAGTGTGGGTACTCTGCGTGACCAAGTCATCTACCCTCACACGGAGGTCGACATGCGTGAGGGAGGTATATCGGACGCAGGTCTCCAAAAGATTTTGGATGATGCCCACTTAGGTTACCTCCCTACCCGCGAGGGTGGATGGGATTCTCGGAAGGAGTGGAAGGATGTCCTGAGCGGTGGTGAGAAGCAAAGAATGGCTATGGCACGTCTCTACTACCATGAGCCCCGTTACGCCTTCCTCGACGAAGGGACGTCTGCTGTCTCCTCGGATGTTGAGGGCCTGCTGTACGAACGGGCCAAGGAGCGTGGAATTACACTCATCACGATCTCTACACGTGCGTCTCTCAAGAAGTATCACACTTACAACCTCACCCTTGGCCTGGGCTCCGAAGGGGAACAGTGGGAGTTTGAGCGGATTGGCACGGCTAAGGAGAAGATGAATGTTGAGAAAGAGCTGCAAGAACTTCGTAAGCGGCTGGATAAGGTTGATGAATGGAAACAACGCCGAGAGGAGATCGAGAGCGAACTACGTAAGGTTTGGGTTGAGGAAGGAGAGCTGGCCCCACCGCCATATACAGAAGAGCCGGAGACAACTGAAAGCCAAGCGGTCGAGGAGTCTTCGAACTAATGTTGATTTTGGAACGGGGCAAGAGCAGTGAGTATATAATGTTTTGGACGTATTGGTATGTGCTTGAGATAGAAGTCAAGGTGCTGTAGTGGCTGCCACCCACCACGCCTCACTATTCAATGGAAATTAAGATTTATGTGAATTCTGGTAGTTCTTGAGTCTTCTTTGATTCTACCTTACTGCAGTGGGATTGATCCATCACCATCATTTCATTGTTTGCATCCATATGTAGTCACATGACCACCGGCCACTCAGAAGGGGCACAGCGGATCATCGCAGCTTTGATTTACGGGAAATCAAAATAAGAATTATTTTTACATCTATCAGAAGATCCACCCTTATACTTCTCTGAAAAATAACCTAAGGTCATGCGCTATCTGACCAATCAGTATTTCTACTCCTCTTAAGAATGGCATGTCTACACTATTTCTAAATTAAAGTCCGATACTCCAAAAAGGTGTCGGCTTCTTCAATTCTCTACTAAAATGTCCCTGCCACAACGACTACCCCTGGTAGAGGAAGGGCACGAGAGCGAGGATGTAGTAATAATCCCGATAGGATCTGTCAGCGATGGGGATAAGTCAACTTGGCCCACTGAAGCCAGGTTTGGCATGCCGGATGATAGCTCTTACCGGGAGAAATTGGCAATGCTATGGCTGCAGAAAATTGGAACATATGAAGAGGGTATGGATCACTTCTATTCTCTAATCTCTACTACGACTTTGTTGCCACCTATCGATTCTAGCAGCTGTCATGATCGTCCCTACTATTGCAGCATTTCCCCCAGCATGAACAGCAGTCCTCTTTAGTACCAATTTTGCTCGCCTGAGTTCAATATCAGCTGGCTATGCCTTACGCCACGCTGTTTATTTCACTGCTTTTGAATTTGCTTGATGTTGTATTGTGTATCTCCATTCACTATCTCGCCATATTTTGCCGTTCGACGCATGAGATAGATCCTGGGTCTAAAATTGTTCCTGTGGTTGCTTTGCACTGGTTTTTCTTGCTTTTTTGTCGATTAAAATTCACACATGGTCCTCAACTTCATTCTAGCTAAGCATTGATCTTCAGGGATGAGATATATGCTCAACCGCTTGCCAGATGGTTACGCCCTCTTTGATAGACCGCGTGGGACGGATCCTACCATTGTAAGTCTTTGTCCTACTATTGTACAAAACTTCTCTAGGTCTAACAGTATTCAACTCAGCGTGATAGATTCCTTTGGGGTCATCCAATTGGGCAATACTTCCCTTCGATACTCCAGTTCTTTCCACACTTTTATCATCTGATGACGGGCGCGGCGGGACCTTGCCATTGCATGCTTTGTGACAAAGTAGCAAAGCGTGAACAGGGTTCGGTGCTCCTTCAGTATTTTACATTCAAACCTTTTCGCTAATGTACTTCCAGCGATATTAAATGGTTCCCTACGAGGACGAGGACGAGGGAGAGGACGAGGGAGAGGAAGTTCAAATATTGCCAGGTCGGTCGACACGCCCCCTGGAGGGACACCACATCGGCTTCCTGGGCGGCCTCCTGGACGGCCTCCTGGACGGCCTCCTGGACGACCATATGGTAAATTATCTGGTAGGCCACCCGGAAGACCGCCTGGCAGGCCGCCTGGTAGGTCTGCTGCGGCCGGAGTGCGCGGTATCTTTGACAGTGAAGGAACACCGGACGTGTTCAAGATGGCCGTTATAAGGCTCAAAGAACGGGGGGTTCTGGATGAGAGAATAAAAGAAAATGAGAGCATGGACTGGAGGGCCGAGAGGACAGCACTTGACGAATATATTGAGCAATTAGGCATGCAGCCTTCCTACGTTCCTCGACCCGGAGAAGTTGTACTCTGGGCTCCGGAGTGTCAGGGGGAACTAGCCTGGAACCACGAAAACAAGTGCATCGAAATGTACTCCCCCGATGAAGACCGATGGTTAGGAACCCCCAAATGGCGGGCTGGTATTGTAGGCCAGACGCCAGAAGAAGATATAGTCCTTCAGGACTTAGTGAAAACGGCGCCCAAAAAATGGGATGTCAACTACTCTGGCTTTCGCGTTGAAACCTTTCCTGATCCTCAAAGTTACGACAAGAGCTACTCATTACACTACAAATATATCCGTCTGCAGTGTATCAAGCCCTTCAACGCATACGAGCTCTTTCTGCAAGGGATTCCGCCCGAAAATTTACATCCGTCCATCGGGTATGCGATGACGATTATGTCGTCGTTCAGTCTTCTGGACAAATATCACTTTAAAGGAGCTTGGCCGAACGCAGCGATTTATTGCCGAGGTATTTTCATCGGAGCAGAGCTCTTGGTGGTTGGCGATGCTGTCCGCTTGAAACCAAAGCGCCAATTTGACTCGTATGAAAGCCATGACGCCGTTGAGGATGTTATGGTCATTGACGAAATACGCCTGGAGCTTGTCAATTGCGTGAGCAATCTCACGTCGGACCAACTGGCAGAGCGATATCAGGTTCGAATTGCAGGAAAGGTCTATACGAACGCTCCCCCGAGATCGAGTACTGGGACCGACGGGACGAGCCAACCATTGCCTATGAGACCCGAGGAAGTCATTGACGTTTTTCAATCGATTGGCATGGGTGGATATGGGTCTTGGTACAGGGTGTGGAACGGCGCAACGGTGGAAGTCTCGCAGGATATGATAATTGGTCGCTGTTACGATCCCGATGCTATGAACCTCTTATTCGGGTCTTGCTCTCTGGGGCTGGATCTGTCGGGGGTGATCAAGGCGAGGGAGTATTCACGGAAAGTCGATGAACGTATTCCCGAAGGGAAAGGCTGGTTCTGGGGCGACTTTCGAACTCAGACTCTCGCGATTGATACTCTCAATGGCCAGGATGTGGGCTACTACAGCGAGGCCCGTGAAATCACGATGTGGGGAGCAAATCTCCGAATTCTCGATGGCACGGCGGATTCGGCGGATCTTCGCCTGGCCAGGCTTCCCGGCAATGTCGGTCGACCCTCGAAGGCTCGGTCCAACTTTTCAGAGATCGGCAAGCTTAGCAAGCTGGTCAGTACGGGTCTTGGGGCCGCAGACGTGAGCAACCCTGTAAGCTCCGAAGAAGGGCCCATCCTGCCAAATGAGGACGATACCTCTGGATCAGATGAAGTTTTTGCATTGGCCATGGACCAACTCCCAGGGGGAACGGACGAATCGGAGGAGGGTGATTACAAGCCAAGCCCTGGGCCCTAGGGCAAACGGACGAAGCAGGAGATCTTTGATCACGGATACTCTGAAGCTCGTTCCAGCCGGTGCTCTTCGCTCGCTTCGTGAGTTCAGACGTCAAGCACTCTCTCGACATTGATACCTAGCGCAGGACCTAGGTTGACAATTGAATCAATTGCGATTAGGAGGTTCGCTTATGGGGATGAACCACAGCGTCCTGGTCTTGAACATACTCTTTTATGTGACAATTGTAGATTAGGGAAGGATAAACATACATAAATACGATTAATCTTCTACCACCATCTTTCCTGTGCCTATGTATGTACATATGTATTGCGGTATGTCTTATCATGCGATAAGAGCAAGAAATCCCGCAGATAACCGGCACTCTAGAAGGCACCGGATTGGCCCGCCAGCCAAATACTACATTACCTTGACTAAAAGGCGGGGAATATATATATATAAAAAAATTTCTTGGGAGGGGCAACAATATATCTTCAACGAGAAACCTCCTGCATAATTATCAATCTGATTACACCCTCACAAGCCACAGGATTACAATCGCAACAATGGGTCTCGACGGCGTACCTCAAGCCCAAGCCGTAACAGTGAGTCTCAAAGACCTCATCGACGGTAAGCAAGCACCAGAAACACCTTATATATACTGAACTATACAAACACCCCTCTACAAGTGAAACTCGCAATAAACTAACCTTCAACGCCAGGCACCGTCTCCTTCGAAACCCTCACCGAAGCTTTCGGCCCCTCCTCCCTAGGCATAATCGTCGTGAAAGACCTCGACTCCGAATTCCAACGTCTCCGCTCCCAAGTCCTCTCTAACGCATCCTACCTCGCCGCCCTCCCCAACGACGAACTAGGTACACATCCACCCCCAAAGCAACCAAACTCGCCTCCCCTCCCAAAACCCAACTAACCACTCACAACCAAAACCTAGAATCCCTAACCAGCCCATCAGCAAAATACCTCGTAGGCTGGTCCTGCGGCAAAGAAACCCTGCGCTCCGGCCACTTCGACACGCTCAAGGGCTCCTACTACGTCAACTGCGCATTCTACCAAGACGCATCGCTGCAAGGCGCGCCGGCCGACAACTTCCCCGATCTATCCGAGTACACGGCGCCGAACATCTGGCCGCCGGCAGAGCGCCTGCCGACGTTCCGGCCGGCGCTGGAACAGCTCTGCACGCTTATCATCGACACGGCGGCGCTGGTGGCGCGGGCGTGTGATCGCTACGCGACGGCAAACATCGAGGGCTACAAGAGCGGGTATTTGGAGCATGTTGTGCGGACGAGTTTGACGACCAAGGCGCGGTTGCTGCATTACTTTCCGGCCGAGGAGGGTGCTTCCGACGCCGGAGAGGGGGATGATGATTGGTGCGCGACGCATTTGGATCATGGGTGTTTGACCGGGTTGACTTCCGCTATGTTTGTGGATGAGCTTGCGACTCCCCCCGTGCACGGAGCGCAGCTTGCTGAGTTGGGCGCTTCGCCGGATCCCAAGGCTGGGCTTTATATTCAGTCCCGCACGGGCGACGTGGTCAAGGTTAATATCCCCAGGGATTGTTTGGCTTTTCAGACCGGGGAGGCGCTGCAGCTTATTACGAGGGGGAAGTTTAGGGCGGTGCCGCATTTTGTCAAGGGCGCGAAGCCTTCTGCGGGGGAGAGGATCGCGAGGAATACGTTGGCGGTGTTCACGCAGCCGAATTTGGAAGAGGAGGTGGAGGGTGGGAAGAGTTTTGGGGAGTTTGCGAGGGAGGTCGTGGCGAGGACTTATTAGGGTGGTGGTTGAGATGAGAGGTTTTTATTATGATGACTGGTTTGTATATAGTTTCACATATTAAGGTTGCTATTGTACAGTTGAGACTGGGCTATCCAGATACCTATGACAGCAAGCATTTCCAGCTTAGAGGTTTCATCGCCGGGTCACGGCACGTAGGGTCCCGAAGGGTAGGACATCTGCTATCCTCTTCGCGCCGGTGAAGAGCATGCAGAGTCGGTCGATCCCGCATCCCCAGCCGCCTGTAGCGGGAAGACCCCATTCCAGCGCCTCAAGGTAGCTCTCGTCGATCTCGGCAGACTCGTCTGCATCCTTGCTGTAGCGTACTTGGTCTTCGAACTTGCGTCTTTGTTCCGATGGCGAGTTTTCTTCCTCGTAAGTATTCACCACCTCCTTTCCCTCGATGAACAGCTCTCCCCGTGCAGCAACACGCTGGCCGGTGACTGGATGGATAAAAGATTTCGACAGGGGCGATAGACATTCAGGAGGGTTGATGATAAAGGTCGGGTTTATGCATTCGGGTTCCACATAGATGCTGCAGAGTTCATCCAAAAGTCGGGGAAGTGTGGGAGCCTCGGGAATCTCGAGTGATAAGTCCTTGAACAGTTGTTTCACCTGGACCACGGCATCTGGAGATGTGAGATCTGGGAGCTTGCGGCCGATCTTCTCTTCAATGCCAGTGAGGAAATCGATACGACGGAACGGCGTTGAGAAATCAACTTCGGTGGGCTTCAGAGTACCGTCCTTGTTAAAGTCGTGAATATGTTGTGCCATGCCAGACAGTAGACTCTCTGTCATAGACAGTAGGTCTTCTAGGTTGGCATAAGCATGATAGAATTCACATGTTGTAAACTCAGGGTTATGGGTCTTGTCGATGCCTATGGAACGTCAGTCGCCCATGATAACTTTACAACAGAGCATGGAATGGAGAGAGCGTAACGGACCTTCATTGCGAAATGAGGGCCCAATCTCGAACACCCTATCGAAACCACCAACGACTAGGCGCTTCAGCCATAGTTCTGGTGCAATTCTGAGAGACAGCTGACGGTCGGGAAATTCGGTCGCAGAAGTATAGAAGGGACGAGCGATGGCTCCACCGGCGATCGAATTGACGATGGGAGTGTTGACCTCCATAAAGGACCGATCGAGGAAGAATTGGCGCAGATATTGGATGATCGCCGAGCGTGCCTTGATAATGTCGGCTGTAGTTTGGTCGGCAAGGAACTGGACATGACGGGGGTATGGCGAGTTCTCGTGCTCTTTCGCGTCCAGGGGGACATCATGGAGACAAGGAGACAAAAGCTGAGGCAGTTCAGTGGCCACAACTGTGAGCTCTCCTCGTCCAGTGCGGTGAGGTCTACCTGTTACGGCTATGGGAAGAGTTCAGCCTAAGTGAGCATACAGAGGTGGCTGGTGGGAAACGTACAGAAAGCATCACCGCGGCGGAGCAAACGATAGAGCTTTTTAAAGGCTTCCGGGGTTATCCCAGGCAGTTGACGAAGGTTGCACATAACTTGAACTTTGTGGCCATTTTGCACGATATCGAAGAAGATCAATTTGCTTCCAGCAAGTCTATACGTACGTATCCTACCTAACTAACCTAAGTACAAAAGACAACAAGGTAGAGCCGACTAAGGCTGAGACCTACCACGAACGACGACGGAGTCGCCTTCTACTGTTTCATTATTTTCTAGGTGGCTGTATCGGTCGCGGAATTCCGAGCAGCTCACGGAGCGACCGTCTGCTGCTAGGCGAGGATACGGATCAGGACAGACATTTTGAACCTCTTGTAACCGTTCCTTGAAAGCCCTTTCAGGCGAGGCTGCACTGCTGCTACTCCTAGTGCTTATAGAAACAATGGAGGGATGGTTAATTGCTTGGGCCAGCTGAGCTCCCGAAGAGTAAGACCATTTTACATTGGTAGAGACGGGCAATCCTGTTCTGATCATTCACAATTAGCACAGGATCAAGGCCATAATGTGCGTGAACGGAGAAGAGAAAACAATATCAAGCAATTGAATCCAGTCAGAGTCAAAAAGTAGCTTCCGTTGCGTTCATTGCCTGTTTGCAGGCGTCATACTGCAGCGGTTCTGAATTGGAAGGGATCTGATTCGTCCTCGGATGGCTTTGCAGGGGAAGAGAATAGAAGAAAGGCGCAAGTGATGGTTCTTACCTTGACCAAAGTCTCCCGGAGACCAACTGTGAAGCCCACCTGGGGCGAACTGAATGCATTTGCAATGGATAGGTGGTGGAAGACTACGAAGTCCGTCACATCGCGGACGGGAAGAGAGTGTGTGGGATTAAAACAGCAGAGCGAGCGAAACGCCGAAGAAAAATCGTTTGAAGGCGGTGAAGGTGGTCCAAGCTTCCGACTGGAACTTCCGATTAACCATCATTCCAGACAACATTTACCTCCATCCTCGATACCAGCATCATAACTTCTCTCTAAAATTTGTCAGTAAAAGTCCACTGATTAGTTATTATCAAAGCTAATATCTTCCTAGTTATTCTCCAATTACCCCTTTAGCAACCAACACCATGTCTTTCCTCTTTGGCGGCCCACCCAAGATGTCCTCGGCAGAGAAGATTGCTGCCGCTGAGACCGAAGTTGAGATGATTTCAGACATGTTCAACCGGTGAGCCCATTGATACACTCCCGATTCTCGCTCAAGATTATAATGCCTTGAAATTGTCTTCGATTTGCCGTTCACAAATACAACCCAATATTCCCATGGACAGCGATGCTAATGCCGACAATCTGCTTAGTCTGACCGAATCTTGCACCAAGAAGTGCATTCCCAACGACTACCGTGAGGGCGACCTGAACAAGGGTGAATCCGTCTGCCTCGACCGCTGTGTGTCCAAGTTCTTCGAAGTCAACATCAAGGTCAGCGAGAAGATGCAGGGCGAAGCCGCCAACAAGCAGGGCGGCGGTATGGGATTCAGCATGTAAATGGATGAGAAGTCTGCTGCCTCATGGACAAACCTCCCTTCCGAAACATAATTTATGTTCTTTTTACGCTCGGGTTTGCCTTTATGTTGCTCGTGTCAGGCGCGGATCTTGCCTTTGGGTTTCAGAGATCATCTTTTGCCGGGAAGTGTTGCATTTGGGTTTAGTTCTCAAGATTGTTGATTCCGGGGCACTCTATGCCGGCTGGTTATGATCGCAGTCTGCTAGATGGGTGCTGGGATGATAGAAGTGTTTGGGTCGGGGACATGGTTCTGCGCACGGCATGGTTAATCAAATCTTTTCCATATTATGTACAATAGAAGTGAATATATATGTCACAGTATTACATTACAGGTGCCGGTTCAAAAATCAATTACAAAGAGAACCCAGTGAATCTTCCTAACCGTGAAAGCCAGGAACAGTTCTGCTTTTCTTCTTCCCCACGGACCAGCGTCTTGACCCTTGTTTCTATCTCCTCAATGTGTCTCTCGAACTCACCTAGCCCAGTCTCGACTTCCTCAACCTTGGACCCTAGGACATTAAGCTCGTAATCTAGTTTTGCGCTCATCATCTCGACCCGCCTCATGTGGTCCGTGAGTGAGGAGTGTTCTTCAGACAGGAGATCGCATGATCTCTCTCGAATCCCTTGGTATTGGCAGAGCTTCTCCATATAGGTTATGTTGACCCTTTCATGCATTTCGTAAAGAACTCGGTTCAGGTCGTCTACTGAACCCACTTGCTTTTCAACCCAAGGAACAGTGCTCTCGCTCAAGCCTTGAACTCTGGAGCTGAATATTCGCGCGTCAGACACTAGTATATCCTCTTCGGTAATAGCTTCTTCCAGGCTGGCGTCGGGGTTTTCAGAGCCTTCGGCCTTCCCCTTCAACTCTTCCCATCCCAGCACAACCTCTTCGACAGTACTGAATGACAGATGTCGCGGCCAGTAATTATCCAAATGTTCAGTGTCGTCTGCACGATAAAGTTCAGCACTGCTCTGCGGCCGGCGCAATGACATGATGCCAAACTCTGACGTCTGATCTTCTGCGGCTGCGTAGGTTGATCGCGTCTTCCACCGCTCTAGATCTTGCGACTCCTCATCTTCCCGAGCTAAAGACACCTTCTGGGAGCTATCGGAGGGTTCGTTTGACGTTACAGGTTCAATTGTTATAGCTGGAAGTTTAACATCGGATGACTTTGGCACAAAATTATTAAGCGGTGTTTCGGTGTTCAGTTCGTGAGGCTGTGTTGGCATCTCGCTGTCAGGAACGCTCTTAGGTTCGGGTTGTCGACCACCGTCAGAAGTGATCTTGGAAAGGGCCATCTCAGTATCGCTCTCTAATGGAGGAATACAAGCTGTGCCACTAGGGAGATCCGCATCATCCTTTGTCTTCGGGAGGTGTGACCGTAGGCCATCCTTAAACCTGCCAAACCCAGCCCGCGCATCTGACACTTTTCCACTGACGCCTCGTCGTACCAACCTGCCTATATTCTGATCTTTATCATCTGCGGTGATAACTGGCTCGAGAAGTCTTCCTGGACGTTCCGACCCCTGATAAGACCGTTCGGCGACCAAATCATCGTGGGAACTTCGTTTGCGACTGGTCCATAGGTATCCACCCTGATCATCGGTAGTAAACATCATGTCTGCACCTGGATGTCCTCCAGCAAAGCCATCTCCAACACCGCCCTTGCGTGGTTTTCCTCTCCAAAGCCACTTTGCTCTTTCACCCGTGACTAACTGTGCGAAGTTGTCAACATCTAGGGTTTCGATATCAGCGATGCCGCCCTTTTCCCGACCCCGCACCATACCCATGACCATCTCGCCTCCATGGCCACTCAACTCAGCCATAGTTGACTTCACAGCATCGGTCCAGCCCTCCGCATTTGCGGCCTTTGCAGTGACCCGATGAAGTCGGTCCAATGTTTGACGGTCCAACCTCCGAGTCCGCTTCAGCTTTTGGGATTTCTGGAAGCTACTGATTCCTCTTTTTAAGTTAGAGATATCAAAGGCATCTTTGCCAACTGGAGCACCAAAAGCGTGCAGCCGGTT